TGAAATTCTCTATCGAATGGTATATAATAGTTGGGGTTTTATTTGTTAATGATAGGAAAAGTTTTTTCGAAAGCGGGGATAGGTCGATCTTCGCATAGGAAGCCATAGAGAAAAATGACTATTTTTGCAATAACTCAGGAACAGTTCGGCCAATCCTTCTCATCTTCAAACTTGACCGAGATATTGTTGAGACTAAACTGTGTAGAAAATTTCATCGTGATCGGACTCTCCTTTCAAAAGGTATCGTGTAAACGGCCGGCCGGACACACTGACCGATTCTATAATGTACTCACTTTTTGAGTACACAAAAAGAAAGATCAACATAGACATTCGTTCTTGAAGTATAGAAAAGAGATGTCTATTGCCGTGGTGGTGGCAACAGCAGTTCTTTTTTATTTGAAAAACATGGCACAATTGCATGAGTTTGTACACAATATTAATACAATCATAACCATTCCAGTGACAAATGTTTCAATTATAATCGAAGGCTTTTTCAATAGAATCATGGAAAGCAATCCAATGTCGACATATTTTCAGTTGTGATAAACATTTCTGATGTTATAATCATTGATGATATAACATAAAACTTATGGCGTGACCAACTATCTCTAGCCACTGTTTGCTTACACCACTATATTACGATAGGCTTCAGTATGAGAAAATAAAATAAAATCATCTATTCTGTAAACAGAACGGCACTATTCTATACATTTACTCGATGTTTTATTTTGCTATGCTTCACTATAAGAGAATAATGAGAACCAGTTTTATCTAATATTTTCGATATGTATGAAAGATTGCATCATCCAGTGACACCTATTTTCATTTTCGCTTGATTGGAGTGTTAGAATGAATTTGTTTTCTGATATAAATTGAAAAAAAAAATTTTTTTCGTTGTCGACCATCCGAAAAAAACATTTATTCTTTATTTTTTCAGATTCATTAAAGTATACCAACAATGGTCAGTAATAAATTAACAGAAAAAAATAAAGTAAAAGATTATTTTTTTATCATAATCGAATTTCTTATATTCTTTCGTTTTCAGCAAAAACAACGACAAGAAGATAATGATGATGATGGTTACAGAAGTCAAACACAACAACGTAGTCAAGTAAATCGATTTTAGTCAAAATAAATCTTATGTACAATGATTCTTTTAATTTATAGATGATTACAGATGATGATGCTGAAACGCGTTTAAGAGTTCGTTTAGATTATCGTCAATTTATTGATGATCTTAATAGTAAATGAATTATATGATTTAATTTTTGAATTCATTGTTTTTTTTTCTTTTTGTTCTAGCCAATCGACAATTATATACAGCACCAGATAATGATGAATTAG